ATTTTAATAGTACCTGTTCACTTAAATACGCCCTTTATTACAGTTATAAAGAGAAATTTACTTTAGTTTTATAGTCATAAAGACTTATTGGGAATAATATCAATCAGATATTGCTTATTTTTCTCAGTTATCAATTGGGAATAACACTATAGCAGTGTTGATAGTAATACAAAGTGTGCTTTTGAAGTTAAAATTACGTGTGAAGTTATATTTCTCTGGTGCCTTATCAGTACTCAATACAACAGAGCTCTTTCTGATTGTGTTGTTTTAGAAGAGCAGTCCTTAGACAACTTCTACTAGTCATTTTATTAGTAGATTATCCTCTTCCAGCTCTGTATAACCCTTGTTGGGTTATAAGTTCTACAACGTTCGCTTCTCTAACACTATTTTCATCATTACGTGATTGGTTTGTCAGATTAATAATCGGGTTTATTAACCCAGGTGTTATGTTTTCGGTCGTGGTCGATTGTTTTTGTTTTTCCTTCTTCTTTCTCTCTTCTCCGAGTTCTTCTTGATTCTGAATATTTCGTCTATTTATATCTTCATCTTTTTCTTTAATTTCCTTCTCATTTCCTTCCTGTTCTACTTGTGTGTTTGAAGTTGATCCAATTACTTCTTGTCTACTTTCTAAAGCTTTCATGCTCATTTGATCAGCGTATTCTTGTGCGGTCATTTCTTAATGGTTATGATTCTAAAGTTTTGATTTTTCTATTGTGTTTTATGCGATAAATTTATCTTATGAAAAATTAAAAAGAAAAAGTTTCAAGATGAAAACCTTGATTACCTTCTAGTTGGGTTTTGTTTCTGGTTATGTTTGTTGAGGTTGTTTAAGATGAGGTTACAGATTTTTTCCGAGGGAATTTCAAATCTGTAATTTTCTCTTCTACGTGTTCGCCTTCAGCTAGTTCGGTACCGGGTCTACCATGGTCCGTTTATCTCTCATTCTATGGAACTGTACAGGTGCCGTCGTTCCTTTGGGCACCTGTACCATAGAGGCTGATCCATTCTGTTCGGGCTAGTTTACTTAGACTTGCACATGGTTGTGGTGGTTGTTATATGTGACTTACTCACATATACCACCCTCACTCTACCTGGGCGTATTTATGTACGCTTTGGTAGAGCTTGATCGGGATGGCGGGCCGCCGGCCGGCCAGGTTTGCGCGGGTCGGAAAATTTTCCTCCCGGCGCAAACCGGAGACCGTCTGTTTAAGGGGCCGTGGGGAGCTACGGGGTCGTCGGGCCACTCGCCAACTCCCATCTGCCGTGGCTTCCTGCGAGACTCGGCGTGGCGAGTTTCCCCTAACTCGTTGGGAGCTACGGTACCTATAAACTCTCACTTGTCTCTCAGCTACACCCTCTGACTTCTCATGATTCCCATGTTGGAAAAGGGGGTTAACTCAGATTATGGTTGGGTGTGCGTTACTTCGATATGTGTATATCGGTCAAAGCTTTGGTCATGAAATTTTTATTGAAAAGGACTTTCCGGCTACTATACTTGCTGTGGGTTGCCTGTTTGGCTACAATTTTTGTACTGTTTCTATAGTTCAGCTAAATTTCTAGGTTCATGAGGGCATGTAGATCATCTGCGTACACTGTATTGAGTCTACTGTGTGGCGTGATAGACTACTTGTTCCTTCTATCAATCGACCAAAGTATATTCTTTGTCTCGTTCAGTTCCTTCTCTGTATATTTCTTTAGATACACTTCCACTGCTTTTGATCTCCATCTGCCAAGTCTCATAATCTTCTCCACTTCCCATCCTAGGTTCCATCTTAATGACGCGCCCCCCACCCGGAAGGAATGACCGGACCATCCTCCTATCTTTTCATCTCGCTCTTTCCACCGATTCTCGAGCGTGTCCACAAAGAGCCTCCTGGCCAGCGGTACTCTTGACTTTCCCGTACCGAAACCAAACAAAGGCTCGTTGGGTCTGTGTGATGGGTTCCTTGCAACTAGCCTCTCGAGAGCTGCTACCGGGTCGAGGATCAATGGTTGCGTCGCTAGTCTGATGATCTGCACGTCGCCTGGCTTGGCTGTTTTTGCTCGCCACAGGGTGAGTATTGCGTTCTTTTTATCACCGGTGCCTTCGAAATGTAGATCCTCGAAGGTTAACATCCCTTCTCCTCTAGTTTGTCTAGTGATTTCGCCCAATCTCATCATGCCCCAAAACGCTACGAGAGCTGCGGTTACGATTGCTTCCTCGACGTCTGACCTTCCCGCCAAATCGCAAACTAGACCTGTGAGTTCATGCACCATGATGGGTGTTTTCTCTCCGGCGTGACGCTCGGGTTCGCCTTTGGCAGCTAGGGTCTCTTGCTCCTCGGCTCTTTCGGTTGCCCTGATCAGTGCGTCGACTACTCGCTGATCGAGATTTGGTGGTGTCAATTTGGTGGCCATTTGCCACGCTCGTAGCCCGGCTAAGTATTTCACTATCGTTTTCGATTTCAGAAGTCTACGAGCTGATGACTCCTTCTCCGCCTCTGACTTTCCAGCCCATACTATAAAACCGTACACATCAATTGATTGTACCGGTATCGCCTTGTCCCAGTCCTTTCCGGAGTCCTCGATATACTCCTTGAACTTCGCCACCGCGCTACTGTAGCCGTTTAAAGTTGAATCCGCCCATGCCCCGCCTACCATCCGTTATAACTTTATGAAC